CCCCCCCCCTTTAAGTCCGTATCTGTCGGTAGTGTCGAAGGCTTTATCTGTCCCCACCTTGGCAGATAGGACAGCTGCGGTGAGGATGATGTGGATGTTCACAAGGATACCCAAGGAGAGCTGCGCCAGCACAGCATTCAGCAGGACGGCTAGCACGAACCATCCCATCAAAACAGTCCTGACAGAGGACATATATATATATATTTGTGTTCTGGCTATGGTGTTTGATGGTTGGGAAAGGAACATAAGTTGGTCCGGATCCATCTACTACATCCGTTTTCGCAAATACTAAATTGTGTCAAATTGGGAGTCCCAGGCAGCCCTGTAAAAACCTTTCCCTCTATTTCTTAGGGTCAGGTCCACCACTGGTGTGCTATGTTTTTGCCGGGTTACGACTGTACTTCAACAGGATCTGTTCTCTACGAATCTCTTGGTTGTATGCGAACTTACATTCTCTATTGTATGTACAAATACAGATTCTCTATTGTATGTAGTATGTCCAAATACAGATATTGGTGCCAGGTTCATGCATGATAACACCACGAGTGGGGCTTCCTTATTAAACGGCCAGTACATTTCCCAGGCAAACTTGAGAATCGCAATTGGTCCAATCGGAAGGTTTTGGGTGAACTGTGCTACTGGACCAAAATGGCTGGTGATGCCAGCCAAATAAGAAACAAAGTGCGCAGCTGGCGGTTCATTCTTCTTTGGTGCACACTGCAAATCTACCATGGCAAAAAGAGAGTGGCTCCCGGTTGTTTTAAGGCCAATAACATGCTGAAATGTAGGGTCTTCAAAGTGTGAAGAAGATGAACACCAAACGTTCCAAAACCCTAAACCCTCGTCTGAACTCTTAAGCAGATTCTGAACCCTGAACCCTAAACCCTAAACCCTCTTCCCTCAACCTTGAAATCTGAACCTCACACCCTCTTCAAACCTAATAACCTGTGAATTCTTCTTCTTCTTCTTCTTCTTCTTCTTCTTCTTCTTCTTCTTCTTCTTCTTCTTCTTCACCTTCTTCTTCTTCGCCTTCTTCGCCCTCTTCGCCTTCTTCTTCGCCCTCTTCGCCTTCTTCTTCGCCTTCTTCTTCGCCTTCTTCTTCGCCTTCTTCTTCGCCTTCTTCTTCGCCTTCTTCTTCTTCTTCGCCTTCTTCTTCNCTTCTTCTTCGCCTTCTTCTTCGCCTTCTTCTTCTTCTTCGCCTTCTTCTTTGCCTTCTTCGCCTTCTTCGCCGCCTTCGCCTTCTTCTTCTTCTTCGCCTTCGCCTTCTTCTTCTTCTTCGCCTTCTTCTTCTTCTTCGCCTTCTTCTTCTTCTTTGCCTTCTTCTTCTTCTTCGCCTTCGCCTTCTTCTTCGCCTTCTTCTTCTTCTTCGCCTTCGCCTTCGCCTTCTTCTTCGCCTTCTTCTTCTTCTTCGCCTTCGCCTTCGCCTTCTTCTTCGCCTTCTTCTTCGCCTTCTTCTTCGCCTTCTTCTTCGCCTTCTTCTTTGCCTTCTTCTTCGCCTTCCTTGAATACTGGGCAGGGCAAAGACAGTAGTGCAGGATTTGATGGAAGCTTCAGACCCATGAAGGCAAACAAAATAAACAGAGGCAGGAAGTCGTTTAGCAGGCATGGGGTTTTCAGCTCGTCCTGTGCCTCTATCTGTACTTGGTCCTGTTTTGACCAACTGTCTAACGGTTCTTCTGCGGGTGTGTGTTGCAGGTGTTATGGGAGGTGGAGCACAAGGAGGAGGTGGAGATGATGAGAACCTCGGCTACGAGTGCATTCAACTGTGGCACCCCGCCCCTACCCCCACCAAAAAAAAAAATGCGTGCCTGCATACTGACAGGGAAATCGAGAGAATCCTGCAACAACTGCGGAGCAAAAGAGAACATCAGCAAAAATCAACGAATGTCTCACTCGTGGATGCTATCTCTGTGAAATGCATCAGAAAGCTCGGGGGAATCGCAGAAGCTTAACCCTGACAACCTGGCAGGGTCTGTTACGCGGTGCTTTTCCTGGGCTCAGAAAGGGTTTATGAATTTTTGTACGCGTGTGCCATTTCTCGGGCAACTGTTTCAGGCAGGGGCTGATTGGCCGCGAGGGGACGCGTGCGGTTGTCATGGCTGCTTGCAATGATACAGTTGATTGTACTTGATACCTACTGGGGTCTTGCTTGAGGCAACAATATCACTAGGCGCGGGGTCTTCTTCAAGGCAAGGCAACTGATCAACAAAAAATAGAGCTTGGCATTACAGGATTTTTTTTTGTTTCGCATACATGTTTTCACATACACGTTTTCCCATACATGTTCTTGAATACAGACTCAGATATGGTCCTTGGGTTGTACTTTTTTTTCTTTCCTTTTTGAGGCGTACTTTCTGCAGGTCACGCATACAAGAGATTTGAAGCAATACCATCTGAAGTTCCAAACAGGAAAGTAGGTGTGGTAGTTGTCCGCTTTGGCCAGCTAAGTGGAAGAGTTGAGCGTGCAGAATTTTGGAATAGGGAAGATTTCCTGGAGAACTTCCCAATTACGGTAATTTGATTACCTGCTTTGGAAAGTTGCTGGAAAGATCTGAGCATGCACCAACCTCAGCATCATGGTGTGCTGCTCGGAGGAATCAGAGCGGACCCGTGCGTGCCTTGTTTGCTGTGACTGCATGGATGCCTTGCAAACGCTTTGCAGGGAAGTTGTCGTCAGATGGGCAATGCTGCAGCAAACTGACATGCAGGCTCGTAACGCACATCTGCTTCATCGGTTTATCACGCAGACCGATCGCACAAACTTGTCGCATGTATTTGTGACCCGTAAGTGTCACACGGGCCAGTGATGTGAGCTCGCGATGCGAGCGTGTCCTGCACAGTTTCTCTGCATCTCAGGTTTCCTGTGGACTTGCCACAGACTTGTTACGCAGGCTCGTCACACAGACTTGTCACTCGAACGTGCCACATATGCTTGTTGTGCAGATCTGCCATGTCAGCTTGTCACACACACCTTCACAACGCTTGTCACACAGACTTGTTACAGAACTAGTCGTGCAAGTCTTATGCCAAAGCTGTCTGGATAACACAGACTTGTCACAAGGCTTGTCACAGAACTAGTCGTGCAAGTTTTACGTAGGTTCAGATGGGAGTTCTCTTTTAGGAGTTTCACGTTATCGAGAGAGTGTTCATTGTTTTTGTCTCGAACAGCTGTACAGCTTTTGTGTTTGGTGGAAAAGGAGGTGCTAGGTGCTTTGCGAGCATCATGGAAAGCGTTGTGCTGGTGTCGGATAACAGTGATGGCGACGATGGCTGCACTGTTAGGGGTCAAGGATATGCCGGCGTGCCGGCAGATGTCTCCCTGCTCGAGGATGAGTTGTATTGTGTGGAAGCTGAGCTGCAGCGAATACAAGGTTTGCACCGCTTTGTGCCTAGCCAGCCCTGCTGTGAGTTCTGGTTTGTGTTCTTCCTTCTCTCTCCCATTCTCTCTGTCCATCCTTCATCTATTCACTCCGTATAGCGGGAGGGTGTGCTGGTGCCTGTAATGCTGTTGAAAGTACCAGACATTTCCTTCATATATATGTCACAGCCAAAATGGTCTCTTCCTCCTTTCGCCCACAGATTGTTCTCTTGCTCCCGCATCTTCTCTTTCTGCTCGTCTTCGTCGTTTTTCTTAATAATAATTTGGGTCATTTCTCGATTTATGTGTGTCATCCTTGTGCAGGGGCCACACTAATCTTCTCTGTGTCATTCCAATTATGGCGGATGTCCCAAAAGGACGACTCAACTTCGTCCTTCGTCCACAAACTTTCCTTCTTTGCCACCTCTTCCTTGTCCCTCTGTGGGCCATTTTTCACCCCTCCTCAATTTGATCCATCTTTGTCCCTAACGTACCCTCCCTTCCTGACTGTATAGGTCACAATGCAACAAGCCCCGTTATCTGTCCGTCCTATACTCCTTCCCTCTATCAACGACGTCCCTGGGACCCCGCCTCTTCCCCCTATGTAGTTGGCCGCCCTGAGGCTCCTTGCCTCACTTCAATATGGCTCTTTCTTTCTTTTTTTTTTTCTTTTTTTTTTCCAGGCATCCGGAACAGAGCACTCTTTTCTTTCTTTCTTTCTTTCTTTCTTTCTTTCTTTCTTTCTTTTTTTTTTTTTTTTTTTTTTTAACAAGTGTCGAGGATTTCTCAATTTATGTGTGTCATCCTTGAGCAGGGGCCATGCTAAGTATGGCTCATTTTCTTCTCGCTTCTATATGCGAAAAATCACGATGATTCCCGTTCGTCAAGTATTCTCGCTGGCTTCCTCCTCTTTTTGCAGTACTTGTTTGTTTGTCCTCCTTTTGATTATCTCTTCGTCCCTAACACGCCACTGTCAATTGTAATTGGTATCTTTGCTGCATATCAGGCTGTGCTGTTTGCATCCAGTTTTGTTGTCTGCATGATTGCATCCCAATTTATGTTGCGTCCTGTTTAATGTCCATCTCCACTCATCAATTGCAGCTTATTATGGCTTTTAAAGTTTTTTCTTCTCTTTTTTTAAACCACCACTACCTCCGATCCTGTTTTGGCCGAGCCTGATTTTCACTGCGCACCGAGTTTTGCGGAGCTGGGGCAGTTTTATCCAAGAAGGAACAAGGAAAAAAAAAAAAGAGAAGAAAAAGAAAAAAAAGAAAAAAAAGAAACTTCCCGAAAGCCTCGATAACCACCAGATACATTCTATGAGGTGCTCATGTGACTGTGCCCTCAGTGAGGGTGTGTAGCGGACAAACAACGAAAAAAAAAAAAAAAAAAAAAGCTCCGTTATGCTGTGATTGAAGGCGGATACAGGATGCTACAGTATTGAGACAGTTACTTGCCACCCGTGAAATACACCCTGCCTGACTGGCAGGGCACTAAAACGACATAAAAAAAAAAACAAAAAAAAAACAAAAAAAAAGCAAACTAATTCCCCACATAGTGGCCAGATACATTCCTCAAAGCACTGATGTAACTTCCACCCTCGTGAGGGCCTTCCCCGAAGTCCCCGGATTCGAAAACTCTTTATTTTTTTCCCTTCTTTTTTTCATTTTTATTTCGTCGGCCTCCAACCCTGCCCCGAGCGCCATGTTTTCAGGAGTAGGCTACTAGATGGACTTTGCGTTTGCCTGTGAAAGGTAGTGGTGGTTTAAGAGAAAAGAATTGCCGTGTCTGTGCGGAGCATCCGTGTGGTGTTGTGTGTCGGTGCGCCGAGTTGGACGCTACAGCCTTGCAGGGGTGGGGGGGATATAAAGACTGGTACGATTCCACTTTTGAACACTGTGTCCTGGCTGTAGTTGTTAAGAGACTTGGCTCTTGAGGCCGAGGTCGCCGGTTCGAATCTGTGCTTGCACGAAGGAGGGCCTTGGGCCCAGATGTACAGAAGCATGGGAAATCAGAAAAAGACGTTGGGAGGGAAATCAACGGACGCAGAAACTGTGACGTAGTAAAGCCATGCTGAGCTGTCGCAACAATACGTGCGACAGTCTTCACCGGAATAGAATGCCCGGTCACTATCGCCGTTTCTGGACAGAAAGTTGCCCCAAATACAGCTATAATGATCGGGTGTTCCATCTGGGTGGGAAGTAGTTAACCTTTAGGAGGGAATCAATGGAGTCAGAAACTGTAACAGTATCTGCTAGTTGATCGTATTTTTCTGCATGTGAGAGGCTGCTTTTGGTGAACGTGCATGGCTAGACCTCCACCTCCCAAAAACAATGAATGTGGTCATGATATGTGGTCTGAGTTTTGAATTTGGTCATAATTCGTTGTCTGAGTTTTTTGTCTTTTTGCCACCAACTGATTTTGGTTCTGATCTGGCTGTGGAACTGAATGGATGCAGAGGAGATCGGGAGATTGCTTGAGCAACAGGATCAGCTAGACACCAGGAGAACTGCAATCCAGAAATGCCTGAAGCTTGCCAAGAAGTCAGCAGCAGCATCGGCTCAGAGTGACTCTAAGTTTGGGTTGCACAGTGAAGGGCAGGTAGCCCCTTCCTCTGCATCAGGAGAAAGCAACTGGCTCCGTCCATTTCAATGGGATGAAGAAGTTGAAAAGCTCAGAAAGAATCTGTTTGGCCTGCCATCTTTCCGGACGCATCAGCGAGAAGTATGTGAGCATGGTTGCTCCTCCTTGATTACTCGTGTGTCTTCCAAACTGCAGTCTTTTCCCATTCCCCATGCTCTGCATCTTGCTCTGCATCTTGCTCTGCTCCTCATCCTCTGGCTACTGGCCCATCTGCTCCTCTCCCCCCTCCTCTCCCCCCTGCTCTCCTCTCCCTCCTGGATTTATTACTTCCTCTTTTTCTCTTCTCTTACCGTTGTCCTCTCTCCTCTCGCTCTCCTCTCCCTCCTGCTGGCTCCTCTCGTTCACCTGCTTTTCCCTCTGCTCCTCTCCCCCCTCCTCTCCCCCTTCCTCTCACTGTTCCTCCCCCTCCCTTCTCTCCAGCCTCCTCTCCTGCCTCCTCTCCTACCTCCTCTCCTGCCTCCTCTACACCCTGCTCTCCCCCCTGCTCTCCCCCCTTCTCTCCCCCCTCCTCTCGGCCCTCCGCTTGCCACTTCTCTCCTGCTCCCTCCTCCTCCTGTTGCTCCTTTCAGTGCCTCCATTTCTCCCTCTGCTCCCCATGCTCCCTTGCATCTGTCTCCTCTTCCTTTTCCTCCCCATACTTCTTTTTTTCCTCCTCCTCCCTCCCTCCCTTGCTTTCCCTTTCCCTCTTCCTCCTCAGCCACTACGTCTGTCCATAGGGCCTATAGTCCAACAGAGCGGCTACATGTACGTGACAGATCCAGATCGTCATTCGTGGATAATACTGCCGAATATTGAATTGTGTAAAAGATTACAACCATTACTTTTTGCAGCGTTTGTTAACGACACAATTTGGCTTTCGCTTAATAACTGCGAAGACGGTGAGATTGGTTTCTCAAGTGACTACACCTGCCAACTCTCCACATACTTCCTTGAGGGACCATGTACGTGACAGATCCAGATCGTCATTCGTGGATAATACTGCCGAATATTGAATTGTGTAAGAGATTACAACCATTCCTGTTTGCAGCGTTTGTTAACGACACAATTTGGCTATCGCTTAATAACCGCGAAGACGGTGAAGTTGGTTTCTCAAGTGACTACAGCTTCCAACTCTCCACATACTTCCTTGAGGGACCAACCCTACCCAATAGGGAGCATGATGGCAGGGAAATACAGCATGACTCTACTGTATAACGCCAGAAACTCTGTTTTTCTTAGTGGTGGCTCTACTGTATAACGCCAGAAACTCTGTTTTTCTTAGTGGTTCGTTGTTTCCTCATCTTGGACTTGGGTGTTGAACACCTCTGGCTGCTGATACCAGGCTGCTCCCTCTCCCTGTCATTATCTGATAGATTTGGACCTGTGACCTGTGCAGCCTGAAAACAAATACCAGCAACCATTTTCGTTCCTCCTCCCCCCGCCTCCCCCTTGTTCTTCGCCCCTGGATGCAATGTGTATATAGCTGTAAAGCTACCTTACCCATTTGTATTGTGGCAAACATTACCCGGCTCACTGTCACATTATGTTGTTTGCATGAGCCCTGGCATGCGGATTAGGTTTTGCAAGAACCTACTTTCCTTGCCCCCTCTGCTGTGATCTGAGACTCTGGCGTTGTGATCCATGGTTCTAACAAAAACCACATTCAGCCATCCGGTGGGTATATGGGAACTCAAAGGCCACATGCAGGCGCTAGTATGATCCCTGGCATGTCAGGGCACCCATCAATGACTCAACATCGAAGCGACACTTTCCCAATGTAAGATGCCACCATTTTCGACAACGTAGCTCTGGTCGCAAGTCTGCACACAGGGAAGTTCATTTTTTTTTAGAACTAAGCCTGCAATCATCCTCGACTCCTTCTCACTTGTCATCCATGCAAACAGCGAAACAACAAACTGGCGACATGCGCCCACACAGTACTCAAAGATATCGTAACCAAGTAAGAGTTCTCTTCAAAATGGCTATGGCGACTGAGCGCCCACACAACTCACTGTTCGCACTCTGGATCACCCTGGATGTCCCACACGCACACTCAGTGTTCATACCCAACACCCACACAGTACACAAACTCTGCACTCTACACTGAGCTATGGCAGCTATGGCTGCCTCCACCTATTGTTATGGCTACAGTGCTTCACTCTTGCCCCCTTCATCTTCGGGCCTCCAGCAGACCTCCTTGCACTAGACGCTGTGGCAGCGCTACCGCCTGGCATCCGCAGGAATGAATGTCCTGGCTGGACGCAGCCTCTTGATTTATACTTCTGCGCTCCGTTGGTCTGCCCTGTCTCCCTGGCCCATGGTGCACAC